TTGCCTATCTGGCCACATGTGGCACTGTATGTATAGGGTACTGGTGCCACAGCGAGCAGTCTGGAGAATCGACACGTGTGCGATTTCGTTTAGGAAATGCATGTGATTGTTAAGGCAGTGTGAGGTAATCGGAAACAATGTAGTAATTCTTAAGCAAGAGGTAAAACTAGGACTCGTTCGCAAATATAAATGACAAAGCCTGTACAGCTACATAGTTGCCCTGCTGTGTTGTTGCAGTTGGTCGAACACTGCTGTGAGTAGGGTAGCTACGCACTGCTGGTGTAGTGGGCGCATTATATACTTAGGTCATGTTCGATGGGTAGGTAAGAGCCTTATTGGATTTGCAGCCATTGTTCCAGCTAGGAGGGTTTCCAGTGTGGTAGTGACGCCGCATTAGTGACTGTTCGTTGCGCTACACACCTGTAAGCCACTACGGTAATCAGTTACCTCTTCATTACCCATATATCTGCCATTATTTAAAGGTCGGAAGATGCATGTCAATCCTGCGTTTCAACATGATATTTACTTTGCACTTCTATGTGATTGATAAGCTTGAAATACCAAGGGACCCTACGGTACTTATATGACCCGCCAACAAGCACGGCATACGCATTGTAAGCATAAGTTTTGGAGTCGTGTTTATCCATCAACAATGACAAAAGTATTCCCAGTAGTTGCCAAGTCGATAACAACGTGTGTGGCGGCGTACACACTTGAATGCTTCTATGACTGGCTGAAACATGGTCCATAGCAGGACTGGTGGGCTCAGTTGCCATTTGTAAATGTTTGCAAACGTGCTCTAGTATCCGTCGTGGTGGGGCATAAGAGTTTGGGTGTTCCAAGTACTTACCTGAATTACTAGCGTCAAATGCGTTTGCCGCCACTAATTATCGGCTTTCGTGCTTTTTCTTACAGGACGATGTGGCACGTATAAATAGTGTAGGCTTTGTAGCCCCTTTCATTGTTTCCTTGTTGAGTAACGCCGATTCCATGAGGATGGCATTCTAGTCCATATGAGTAATAGCGTGGTTCTATCTGCATTGACAATTTATGTAATGGTGTCATTTCGAGAGCCAATTGTGAAAGCGTCTCAACACCTACGGGGGGCACATGGAAGTGAAACATGATTATCCTTTGAATACATAGGTTCCGCATCCTTCCTATGATCTTTACATAATGCCATACCAGTTGACACTGAAGCGATAGCTAGTTAACAAAGTCGCCCATGGGTGTGCAGTCAAACGTACACTCACTAATGTCGTGTCACCGCCACACTTGGAATCATATTAGATTGTGTTTAGTCATCAGCTGTAATAGAAGTAAGCACCCATGGAACATTCGTTGTTCAGCTTCCGGTTGATCTACCTACTTCAATGAGAACAATGTCCCTCATGGTCGTCGCAATAACAATTGCACGAGATTGTCCAACCGCCTAGCAGCCATTGTTGATTTAGTTTAAGGTGTGCAGTGTCCTAGCCACGGTACATACCTGACCTAATGCAAATGCAGGCCCGCATGACTCCCTCAGCAGTAAGGGATTGTGGAATATCAGTTAGACGGTTGCCTGTCTACGCCACAATCGCATCCATAGATAGGCCGCTGAAATAAGCCACCTCCATGTAGTGGCTAGTGATCAATAAATATAGACCGCTTCATGTGATGCCTAGTATGTCTGTCCGCACTTGTTACGGCGTAAGTTTCGGATCATGTGGTAGCTAGAATCTTCTCCTTAGACATGCATCCCTGGTTGCCCATTGGATGGTTTCAGATTGGAGAGAAATCATCACGGTTTCCTTCATACACGCATCAGGCAGCACAGAACGTTGTGCTCGACCACTTTCTTTAGACTGTCTTGCCTATGCTTGGGGCTTCCAATCGGTGTTCCATTCGCTAACGTCCCATGAACAATGAGAGTGTCAACGACGCCAAAACCGCGTCCGAAGTCTTGCGAAGTTGAATGCACAGTACACGATTTCGAAAATGTGCCACGCTGAAAGCTTCGTACGATGCGCTAACATGCCTGTAAAATGTTATATGGCTACGCGTCGCGAGTGAGGGTATCGGGAGAAACCACCACGCTTACCACTGTTTTTTATTTCTCTGTGTGAGCCGCATATGTTTGACAATGGGCCTTTTGGCGATAACTTCCCCATCCAGAAGACAAAACTTACAGCTTTCCCGATTAGGCGGAAGCTTTACTCTGAAATTTAATGACTTCAAATGTATCCTTTGTTTTGGGTAAGCGCAAATGTTCGAGCCTGCCTCTCTTGAGACTGGCGATCTGTTTGGCTGTCCCAAAAATGTATTGAAGAGTCTTCGGAAAATAGGGCTTCTCTTCTACCAGGATCTGTGTTACATGCTGTTAATTGTTGGGTCAGTATGACTCCCTCACATACTGCTCGTGACGATAACAGTTTGCCCACGCATCGGCTGCTACCACGTCGACTGGCCACCTTGCGGGTTCGCCCGAATTAGTGCAACGACGGCGCGTAATAAATGCCGGATAATGGTCATATTGCGGGCATGACCAACCAATGCTACCTGTTGAAATTCAGCGAACACTCGCGTAAGGCGCCGGAATGCACCGGAAGGCTTCTAGCCTAAAACCAACTGGTAAACTTCATCACTGCGCACACATGCTCCCAACAGATATTAATGGCATTCCGGGAGTTAAACTCGTTCAAGGTTGTAATGTTCAAACTGAGGATTATCCATGTCTCGGATCATTTTCGCAACATTATGCACCTTAACGTGCACTAACAGCCTAATCCCCCGCTGTCTCTATATAGGGTATAACAACTAGAAACCCAAACTGGCCCTGCTGAGACTGGAAGTGACCTCTTCAGTGATGTGATCACCACAACTGATACAGCTACCACGACGGGTAAACCGATCCACCACTTCAATTGGCTGCTCCGTAATTCTTCAACAAGTGGCGTAACGGTCCAATCTTGCGACAATGCTGTTAACTTTGAAGGTAGCAAGTACATACAGGAGCCTCCAAAGCTACGCAGCAGCCTGTCAACTAGTGTTTGTATAGCCACAACATCACCCACGAGGAGAGATATGTTGTCCGCATGTTCACGGTTTTTAGTCAGTTACCCAGCAGAGCATTTACTTCGGAAAAGTTTGGTATTACAAAATAACTCATAATAACTTTGGTCACAAAGTTGAAATTTAAGGGGATGAAGTAAAAAGAGGTGAAATCCACATTTTATGTGGAGCTTAGGAGATATATTTCCGTAGGCTCTTACTCAACCTCATGAATCACGATAAATATATTTCAGAAAAATGCAAGTTTTGCTGAGATTTACAAGGATCGGCAGTGACACAATCTGCTACCATAGAAGGATTCAAATGTGACTTTTTGCTTAACATGTTAAGGAGTCAATCACTTTTACGGGAAGTTGATGCATTGGGCAAAGCGATAGTCTCTTTATGGTTCTGCTGGATCATGCACAGCGATTTTTTAAAACTCTTTTGTCCCACGGGATTTAAAGCGCTGTTTATACGTTTATATTCAAAATGAAAACCTCCGTAGATCATAATGTTTTTTACACTAGGTGCCGTTTAATGTCACCTATCGCACAGAAAGCGTATTCATTATCGTACCCCACGGAGAACGCGGAGCTGCTAGCACTGACTGATTCAAAATAACCAATTTTGAATCCAACATTATAAGATCAATCACTTCCAGCCAAACCGGATGGAGCATCATCTGCCTCTCCACAGACTCCACGACTCGATGCACTTACAAACACGACAGCGTCCAGTGCTGAAGCCTAAATGCTGGTCATGTACTATAGACGAGTTTACTCATAGCACATCTGAGAGACTGACGCGCTTTTCATTTCCCCAGCAAGTTCATCACTGCGTCGAACAAAATCGAAAAAACAGCAAAATATTTCGATACTTAAAAGGGCAAAAGTCGTATAAAAACATATAGAGGCCACCAGTTTTATTTCACCACAATCTTAAGCAAGGTTCCTTTCGTTCATTTGCTCTGGTCAATTACGGGGGCGTAAGTTACGGAATTTTACATCATTGCCACAACGTCGGACTATCAAAAATTACCGGGCAGTAGGTGGCAAAACAACCTCTAACCTCAGTTCCAGCCACTTGTTTGGCACTCGCATTGATGACACATTGGGGGCGCGCTAGAGTCCAATTGCACTGGTGTCTCCCAGTAATGGCATGTGATTTCACCACATGGACTCGCAGTAAAGCTAGCCGTCGACTATGGGAACAAGTTTATATTGAAAAATTACGCGGTTCCATTCTAGGAGGAAACTGAATAAAGTATTTAAGAGTGTTTAGTGCAGCGTTCACATAATAAGTAAAATATTTCCAACTGTTAGTCTAATGAATTACATCAAATAGTAAGCCGGTTTTTGTCGATGAGGACCAGCTTTTATGTACATACACGTCTGTGTACATGAACTAAACGCTGCTTCCGGCGCTCCTCGAACTTCCCTTCATATCTCTCCATATGCCTGTTCATCACAGGTGTCTTTTAAGCCCAGCGACATATTAAGTTGCATCCATAATAATTTACACAGCCACATATTTGCCTTTATAATTTTCAAACGGTTGGATGCTTGTGTTGATATATAGTCCACCATCGACCACTAGATGAACGAACATTCGGGTTTTAAATGGCTCATAGTGGATTGCATTCTTTAAATTCAAACAAATAGGACCACTATTTCCCGTTCTTCGTCCGCCATGTGAAGCAGCCACATGACTTTATATACCGGGATAAATGTTTGAAATAAAGATGCCAGAGCCCTCGTATCCCGCTTTTTGCATCCAATTGTTAACTTTGCTAACTATAAGCTAGTGGTGTATGTCCAAACTTGATAACTTGGATTTCACGCATTGTGTGAATATTGGACACTCACTCTCCAAGAAGCATACATAAGAAGGATCGCATAAAGATTAAACGGTGTAATTTCAACGACAGAGAAACATGTGCGATCTGTTCAATCGCAAAATATGAGTTATACACTGAGATTGGCCTCAAGCAGGTATCGGCCTATTAATCGCATGTTCTGCGAAATGTATGAAATAGAAAAGCGAAGATAGGTTTAGCGCGTTTCGCAGCGTTTTAGTTAAAAGCAAATAATAATGTAACGCACATTGACAATTGCAGTAATTACAAGTTATGTTATTCATCCTTCTGCGAGAAGCGATACATGTAGCTAAACAGTTTTCTATGCCTTTATTGCTAAAACGAAATTTTGTAGTAGACACAGGTGCATTACCAAGCTAGAATGTTTGAAAGTTGACTGCGATATTTGGCCATTGATACATGCTGTGGTGCACAGAGATCGATGCCGAGGTGGTAAGATATAATGTGCGAATTCAACCATGCATACCTGTCTCACATATCTCGGCGTAGCTTCTTTATTCAGTGCCGCTGTAGAATTTGCTGGTTGAATGTTTATTCCGGCTATCCTTTTACCTGAAATCGTATACGGCTGGCCGCCCCAAATCATGTTGATTGCACAACGACATATTAGGTTCTAACTTATCCGTTATATCTCTGTCTGAGATTGTAAATTCGGCACTTGCACCCAGAGCTATTAATTTACCCGCTATCAGAGCGGAAATTGTCAGAATATATCATACTAAAGTTGCAGGTAATAGTGTTAAAACTTTACAATTTGGCAATGAACAATTTCGCTTCAAGGTTTTGCATACCAATTTCCGAATATTTTATCGAATGTTAGCTTTACGTATGTGTATGTAAACCCCCAACGGCAATTCTATTGCCTTTCACCGGCGTACATCGAAATATGGACAGCTTATTATGTAGCTTGATAAACAATACGTGTCTTACTTACTAATTTTACGAGTCGTTGATGACAGCTCATTATTTTTGACCCAACTTATGCCTACTTTAACTGGCATTGATTATCTGTCGTTGTCATTTCCCCGTAACTTTTTCACTCATATTCAGCCGCTTAGGGAATTATGGTTGATAGATCGTAGACGGAAGATTTGCCACAACTGGCACTGGAAGAATATTATTGCCATTTATGAACATTTGATCCAAAAGCAGACATGGACGTGTTCTGCAGGCATTATTTACCCAATATGCTATAGACTGCAGACATATCAGGATATGTACACCCAGCGGTATACTTAAACTTATATACGACGATGAATAGATGCCGATTCGAGTATGAAAGCGGACCGCATAAAATGAAATAGTGCCTCTGGGCCAATACTATACGTGTCGGTTTTATAATTGTAACTGTTAAGGTATGTTACATTTTTATGCATCATCACTCAGCAGATTCCTTTCATCATTCCTATTACCGGAACCAAAAAGTGATCTCACTGCCTATTCCAGTCACTAGGAAGGTGGAGATGTATCCAGTTTATAGGTAAAATCACATGGTGTTGAATGGCAGAAATCGCTAGTTCATCTCTTCCGAATGGTACCGCTTGAATTTTCAATGGCTAGCGCATAGTTAGTTAAGTTGAGCAATTACACTTATGTCTTTCATGAAGACGGTATATTACATCAACTAAAATATACGCTCACTTATGTTGATCCACACGTACCGCACCAATATTTTCTGGAACAGCAGGCCAGTCCAAATAAACTGTGGTAATACAATCAGCACTGTCTATGTAGGTGACCGTCTTGTCTCCAGTCTGATAATATCTCCTTCCGGAAAAGTAGACAAATGGCTTACCTAAATGAATTTGGTGAACTTATAATGGTCTTTCAAAATGTACCGTTGTTATCATACTGCAGCTTCACAACACTTTCAAAAGCAGTGATCACGCAAATCAGTGTAAGGTACACAAGGAAAACGCAGCCGGAGTTCATCACAATATATCTTACTTCTGAAAGATCAAGGAGAGAAATATAGAGTATAAGAAATTTGCATGATGAAAGTACAACTGGGTATGCACATCAAAACCTATTGTTTCGGCGCTTTATGCGTGATATGGCGGGTCAATTACACCCATAAAAATCGAGTAAACATTGGGATAAATACATCTTCCGAGGTTGAATGTGCGTGGTCTTTCCCGATAAACGTAGAATATTGGGCCGTAGGTCGAAAAATGAGGAACATATGTGAGTAGATTATGAGCCAACTACATACCCCAGTACCTCCTCCGACACAGTCAAATGGCGGCTGAACTTCATGTCATGCCTGTTATTTATTGTAGATACCTCACGGAATTCGGTCGTTGGGTTCTATACCTAACACTGTCTTAGCAAGCGTGGATTTTGTTTACGCTATTGACCTCCATCTTCATTCTGTCAACAAGTAATAAATTTAGGCTAATATTAACAAGGAAGTCGATAGTGTTTTTGAGCAACAATACAGGCGACCAACTCGGTACTAATTTCACATTCAATGATTGGGGTTTAGAACGAAATTCCGAACGGACATGATCATGAGTATGGTCAGTTTAATTCATAACAAGTGGTTACTTTTCAGACAGTCCAAAAACAAGTCTCTGCAGGAGTTTGAATTAACCACTATACTCAGCACGCTCAGTGTTGAGGGGTCTATTTTATGTACATCGGTTTAAATTTACTGCCTTGGCTTGATGAAAATACTTCAGTTACTCAGTAGAAAGCCAAAAATAGTGACGATTAAACACGTTGTAGAGGGTCGATAAATAGTTAGCGAACAAGGTCCAGAGTGCTGTGTGATTTTTGCTTACCCGCACTTCGTTCGTTACAACAATACACTTTTCCACTGCCGCGCTATCCGGCCCCATTATCATTAAACCACGTCAAAGGCCAAACATAGTAGAAAAAACGTACTTATTTGCAAATTAGACTTAGTGTCTGTGGCTCCATTAGGAGAAAGCGTTCCGTTACACACGGATCATGGGGTTAATGCCCTTTGCATTCCCGAGTATGATTACGACTTTGATCGAGTAGAAATAGGATTATTGTACCAAGTGATTCCTTAACATAAGTTTACGTGGGATGTTGGAGACCAACATCAAGAGTAGTGCAAACAGCAATTCTAGCCATGTGACATGATGTGAAGCGCGTTCTTATATATTTCATAATTAAATTTTTTGCCAGGATTTGGCACTTAAGTGAAATGCGGTCCCTTGGTCCACCAATAATTGCAGAATCAACATTCCGTTGTGCTCGTGGCAATAAAACGCTTAGGTACGATTAATGTTAGGAGATTGTCCCTTCCCTACCAACTTCGACTAAAATCTTAGTTATTGCCGTCAACCGCGGAGCGCACAATGGAGCGTCAGATCTTCCAATACCCCTGACAAGCACACCAGCACCTAATGAAACGGACAAACCACTTCCCTGATTAGCATGTGTTAAAGTTGGCCATGCAGTACGGTCGGCTAGTATGTCAATGAGGTGTTTTCTCCATCTGTGGGTTACGGCCATGGCGCACATTTTCAGCGCAATTATCAGTACATTCAGTTTACCAATAATTAAAACACAACGCACTGAAACATGGAAGCGTATCTGAGAGGTGCCTTTCCCTAAATCCCGCTCCTTCCGACGGCCAAAACAATCCTCGTCTCACAGTGAATTCCAAGTGTCGTCGTTGAGAAACATAAAAACCACCCTTGGGCAAGACTAGCTGTTGTCGTTACCTACATATAACGGAATGACAATCGCTTGTTATTAAGGTAATGAGGCAGGAGTCGGCCAGTGTGGGAACCAAATGACATAAATATTTTGGAAGTGTCAAATTATTAAATGATAACTCATGAAAACAGGGAGGTAGTATCAAACACTATGACACAAAGTTTAAATGAAAACAGACTACACGTTTTTGGTTTACCAGATAATTTTGAATCTGTCCCGATTTCTTCGAAAACGCCTGTCCTTGAGGAGCACGATAAATATGAAAAGTAAAAACCTGCGTGTTACGATAAATAGCAAGATTTATCAGATTCTGTAAAACCGACAGCTAATTACAAATGTCTACGTGTCGGTCAGGAGGTGTGGTTACACCTGGGTAGGTGCAGGGTTGAGGGGAACGGAGGAATCCTCAGTGCTTGGGGCGGAGGATGCCTCTGCGCGTGTGAGTAACCGTACGGATTCATCAGGTGAAGTTGGAGTCGCGTGTTCATGACTTGAACCAGTCAGTAAATACCGTTGTTCGTTAACTATTCTGCTATGGGATAAACTGCTTCGAAGTTCGCTGAATAATCATTAGGGTACCTGAGTTGGGAGTTTAACGGGTACGACGCCCTACGTCCGTTCAAACGAAAACGTGAGTTCAGATTGAGAGCCGCTTTGTGTTTCCACATCCCCCGAAGAAGAATCGGATGTAGCGAACACATATATTGAAAAGGCGGAAACGAAATTAGACGGTAGCATACGCAGTGCTGGGGGAAGCAAAATTCACTATCCTTGTAGGTTTTGTGTTGCACAGCAGATCACATCGACGAATGCGCGTTACTGGTCCGCTTTGATATAGGTGTGAATACCTCGGGCAGAAGTAGGGGATTTCTTTCCACTCAGGGTAGCAGGTGGCAAAGTTCGAGGACTCAATCTCTCTATAGAAATGTTTGACTGAACTATTAGCTGGATTATTGTGTACAGTCATTTGAATACGGTGAGAACTTAGGAAGTTATAGAACGTATTGAACCACGAGGATTCGAGAGTCGACTCATTGTCAGTTGTCGGTGTTTCAGGAAACACGGGTGATAGTATCGGTCAGGCAACCTGATATAAGAATGGTCAATGATGATTTACCGAAGCGGTAGGTATACGGGAAGCATAGGGTTGGTGGGCACTAGGTATACGAATCCTTGAAATCGGTGAAAGTTGTGTGCGTATTTTAAGGAAGAGTGAACGGCAAGACATTTAAATTTGGCCGTGCTCTACATTTTTCCCATCTAATGCATCATTGAAATACACACTTCTGACGAGGCTTCCAACATATTCATTAGCTGACTAGTCTATTGTACATTTCTGCAAACATTACCATGGTAAGCTAGAAATGCGATCGGCTGAAGTCTTTGGGAGTTTCCGCTCAAGTAAACGACGATAATCGGTCTATCAGGAATAAGATAAAAAGCTGCAACTATCGGAATAAATCAATGAAATATATCGTGCGTGGTGGAAAATTGCTTTGCGAAAGGAAAATGTGACAAGCGTGAGCATTTTAACTATTCTAAAAGCCAATGTCTGATCGCTCCTCGAAATGATGGATGACCTTAAAAAGAATAATAATAACTCGTGAATAGGCACAAGTTGCAATCATTATCCTACAAAAGACATGGCTCCTTGAAGATATTGAAGTCGCCACTGTTGAATTGGACCGTTTTATTTGTTTTCGTCCTAATCTCCCATTCGCCTGTAGGAATCGTGACGGTGGTGTCATAGTATTTATCAACGCTACATGGGGTTAGTCAGTGAAAAACCTCTTTTGTTACACGTCACAACGTACCGAATGCTTGGTACTATAGTTTAAGGCAATTTATCTTAACGGGTACTGCTCAGTATTATTGGCTAATATCTTTTATAGCAGTGAAATAACACATGTAAATATTTAGCTTTTCCATTTTGTACGGTCTGCACATGCTGAACCAACGAGGAATGGGGGTACATTAAGCGTCCTGCTTTGACTCGCAAAATATTCCGGAAGCGCCTTGCTTTGGCCCTCGAAAATCTGGCCATCTTACCCATATCACTCATTTTATGAAGTTTAAGAGTATGTAATCTAATCCGCAATTATTGAAGGGACCCAATCACCAAGACTACTCGTTAGTTAGATTGCCAATACTTCCGTCTGATAGAACGCCAGATTTAAACAACTGGTGTTGATGGAATGGGCTATTGAGTCTGTCAAAGTATCAACCTCGCAACTTCCATAGCACCGACAATAAAATATATCGATAGGATCACTATGGTGGCATTTTCGTATCCGAGGTGGCTGGCTTAAGTTCGGCTTTAAATGTGTCAAGAACTGCGGTGCTGCATGGGTCAAGTGGTCAAAGTAGGTTACTGCCTAACCACTATCGGTTCACCTCGTTTTCAGACAACCAAAAAGTGGAATCGCTCAACAACTTATCAAGTCGTCGAATGGTGCTGTTTTTTTATTTCCATCGACCTGAAATAAGGGAATTTGACATCCGGTTACTTCAACCAACCCAGGTTTGCAGCTTAAGAAGGAAAAGGCCAAGCACTGTAAAATTCATTAATGTTAGCACGGTTGATCCAACAGTTCTTTCGATTACTACTGTAAGTGAACAATGAATCCCCCAGAACAAGTTTGGCCAGTCAAAACAGGGATTATTTTAACAGGATTTAATCGGATAATTGAAGTGGCCAATCAGCATAATATCCACCAACAAGTAGAGCCCTTTAGCGATTTATCAGAAGAAAAGTACCAAGGACATTCGGAAAATCCAGCTGAATTCCATAAACGACACGTCTGCTAGGCATGTGAAATCTTTTTGCTATTATTAGTGGTAACGAAATGTCTCACTGTCTGGATCAAGCAATAAGAGTAACTAGCAAACAACAGTCACACCGGTTTAGTGCAGGAGACTACCAAAATCCGGTTTTACCTTATAAGAAAGATACAATGTATGTCAGCGCATGCCCTGAAAAAATTGCTTATCCTTGGATATCCATTTATATCATCGGAAACCACATTGTATCTTTGCTATTATATTAATTCATACTACTAACAAACTTACGAGTAAAAACGTATGAGTAAAAGTTCCTCTAGCGGTTTCATGGGCTATGGTACTTAAAGGGATGTATTCTGAGTACTGTGCCTTATGCAGTGGCTGATGTTGCATTCATGATGCTTCCTCACTGCAGTGGGGCTAAACCAACTTACACTTAACCTAGGTATTTTTAATGT